ATTTAAATCATGATTTAAATCATGATTTAAATCGACTCGATTTAAATCAAAGCCACCCTGGTTTCTATCTATATAGAAGAAAGTCAGAAGTTCCTTTATTCTTAAAGCTTTTTTTTATGTTACTGTTGCTTGCACTCCTTAATCTCCCCTTTCTTTGCTTTTTTGTGTTGAATTTGAAGTTTTGAATTAAAAAAGAGAAATATACAAGGATTGAAAAATCTGATTTCCATCCAAACTTCATCTGGATAAGAGAGAAGCACAAGAGACAGAAAACATTTGGACCAGACTTCGATCATTTGATTTGTTGGGAAGACAACTGATATTATGAGTACTGGTATTTTATCCCACATTTCTCTACTTATTGGACAGCGTTTGAAGGATCAGAGGCAGTCTTCCAAAGAACCTTCATTAGAGAGGGTGCTCATTTATCTTAGAAATTCAGCTACCCTGCTGGAAATGTCCATGGGGTTAATTTAATATTTCTCTCCTTTGATGTAAAAGCTTTTTTCCACTTTCCTCTTCACAATCACCACATTATTTTTTTGTTAATTTATATGCTGCCTATGTCTGAAGGCTCTAGGTGACTTAATAGTCAAGATTAGCATAAAATAAAAAGCAATCCCCTTCAAAAATAAACTCATAAACTACTTCATAATATAAACAAAATTGGTATGAAAATAACAAATGTACAAAATAATGTGCCTGCTGAATTCTAACCTTCACTCAAAACAGACCTTCTTCCTGCATTAGATGGCACACCCAGGTCTTAATGCCTCTCCTGAAATCCAGGAGGGAAGGGACACACTGGATATCTGCCGGATCCTAAGACTGTCTTGTACAGACAGGATCTGGAAGGAGCCGATTCTTTCTGATGAAATGATAAAATAAAAACAGGGAAAGATGGCCGTCTAAATATCTGGATAGTCACAATTGACTGCTTTAATTGAGGAAAGAACATATTCAACATTGTTCCTACTTGGAAACAGCTTCTGGACTTTGTGCTCAGTATAGAAAAAGTGAACTCTTGACGTTGGGTTTTACTGATTAATAGAGTCTGTTGTTAGTATTTCCTAAGCAAATAACTGAGGCTCTAATTTTAATGTTGTACTTTGCTGCACTGAAAAAAGTTGGGGGTCGATGCTTTTGAGGGATCTTCTCTGAACTTGCTTGTTTTCTTGCAGGCGTTTCATGACCCTTACTAGGTAACATCATCAGTGCTAGTGAGGAGTGCTGTTTGCTGTCAGTTTATATTCTGGTGACTTGTTTGTCTGTGTGTGTGGGGCCATCTGAGAGATTCTTCGGTTGGGTTGTTTACTGATGGCTTTTTGGCAGATTCTTGACTGGGATATTGTTTACTTGACTGTTGGTCTGAAGTTAACCTTGGAGATAATCTACGCTGATCTGGGTGCTGATTACTGGTGGAGAGGTGCTGGAGTCTTTTTCTCTTTTGGGCTGGTTGATTGTCTCTTTTGCATAGTCTATAGATCAGTGTTTCTCAACCTTGGAAGCTTGAAGGTGGGTGGACTTCATCTCCCAGAATCCCCCAGCCAGCGCTGCTGGCTGGGGGGTTCTGGGAGTTGAAGTCCACCCACCTTCAAGCTTCCAAGGTTGAGAAACACTGCTATAGATGATGTTAATATCTATGTGTCTATTGATGGCTGATTTGTCAGAGTGCCAGGTTTCTAAAAATTCCCTGGCATTTTTAGACTTGGCCTGGTCCAAGACTGTCACATTTTCCCAATTGAAACTATGGTTAGATCTGTCTATAGCAATGATGGCTAACTTTTTTGCCATCACGTGCCAAAAGTGGGGGGAGCGCAGGGGAGTTGCGTGCACATGTGCCCACACCCATAATTCTATGCACCCCACCCCCTGCACATGTGTGTGCGACACCCCTGCGCTTCCCCCATTTTTGGCACGTGATGGCCCGGTGGGCCCGTTTTTTTGCCTTCCCCAAGCTCCAGAGGCTTTCTAGGAGCCTGGGGAGGGCATAAACACCTTTCCCCACCCCGCTCCAGAGGCTGGAAACAGCCCATTTGCTGACTTCTGGTGGGACCGGAAGGCCCAAAAATCAGTTGGCTGGTGCAGGCATGGGCGCCGGAGCTGAGCTCACGTGCCCACTGATATGGCTCTCTGTGCCACCTGTGGCACATGTGGCACATGACGGGTCTATAGGTTGTGAAATGAAAGAATTTTTGTCATGTCTTCTGACTGCTAGTTGGTGTTCATGGATGCGTTCTGCCAGTCTTCTGCCTGTTGGTCCTACTTAGTGGTTGTTTCAGTTCTTACATTGTATGTTGTAGATGACTCCTGTTTTTTCTTCTGGGGTTGCTGGGTCTTTTGGTTTGCTTAGGATGTTTTGAAGGCCTTTAAGGTCGATGCTTTTATACTTACAGCCTGTAGAGATTCTCGGACATCCAGGTCATGGTTGGACTTTCTTGTTTTTCTTTTCAAATTTTTATACTTAACACTTTTCTTCCCCCTTTCTTCCTCTTTCTCCTTTCTCCATTATATTTATTTTCATTTGTATTTTATATTTTTAGTAAAATTGATACTAGACAACTGGATATCCACCTACGGATTTAAAACTGGCAACCAGCACCTTGAATCATACCTGGAAGTGTGATTCGGTCTGAGCTGGTTCCTCACCTTTCAGACCTTGACAGTCATCAGGCACTGGATAACAGCATTACCTGTTTGTCTGAGGTCAAGCTGTACAATTGTGTAACATTAGCATACTTAGGATACCAGAACCCATGCTGATAAATGACCTTCCCTATCGGGATGTTAAAAAAAAAAAACTGGACAAAGCTTTGAGGTTCTCCACAAAAAAGAACTTTCTAAGTAGTTCTCTATTCCCTATTTGAAACCACCTTTTTAGGAAGAAGGAGAAGTACTGAATAATAATGTAATGTCTCTTCCCACCTCTCTTTCCTAGTTTTGGTCCAGGAGGACACCACGGTTGGTGGTATTGAACCGTCCCGAAATCTAAGAGGACCAGGAGGGTTGTCCTCCTCTCATTCCGGTCCCCCCAAAGTTTGTTCAGATGAAATGGCTGAGTGTTAAACAGTCATTCAATAGCAAAGTCAATGGGGAAGCTAGATTCACTTTACAACCCTGTTACTAACTTAACAATAGCAGTGATGCACTTAACAACTGTGGCAAGAAAGGTGGTAAAATGGGGCAAAACTTACTTAACAAATGTCTCACTTAGCAACATAAATTTTGGGCTCAATTGTGATCGTACGTTCAGGACCACCTGTACAAGACTATCCACATTCAGCAAATGTATAGATTTGAACCACTTTCCCAATTCTCCTTCAACACTTTCACCCCAATGTCATTCAGGCTGATGGTCTTTTCACCAGCAATATTTCGCTCCAAGAGGGATTTCCAGAAAAAAAGATGACATTAAAATTTCACAGACTTTTTCACAGTGGTGTTTCTAAGCCAGGGTCCTGGATAGCTAATTAAATTTCCATTAATATTTTCAGTTCATGGAAAAATGATTTTTTTAAAGTGTAAAAATTTAGTAAAAACTGTCCCTCTCTGCCCCTTCTAAAGCTGGCAGTACAGCTTTGAAAGAAGAAGCTTAGTAGAAATGTGTGGATAATTTAAATTTGGTCCATGTCACTACAGGATGCAATCAGTATTTACCAGTAGTCACTAAGCTGTTCCATCAAAATCTCAGTGAACTATTGTTTTGAATAAAAAAACCAAAATCCAAGACTGCTGTTACAAGTACATTTCTTCAGCACTCATATTTTTCAGATAAATCCATCTCTTTATTCAACTTTCTGTATTGTTTTTATACTTTTTTTCGTGATATGTTGCCCAGAGTTACTTCTTGTATGATGGGTGATCCTATACGTTTGATACAAACCAACATACATACACTCTCCTTAAGATTCATATTTTTGGGGGTGGGACATATTCAATGTATTAAAGGCAACATTTCAAACTAGCCGATCCAAAGCGATTTACAATATTGCAGCAATACAGACCCAAATAATACATATATACATCCTGCAATTAAATCATCACCAACAAGATCTGTAGCTCTGCATCTAAAAATAAACATCTTCCCAAAGCTTCTCAAACAGCTAGATCTGAATAAGTTTTCGGAACATTGTGTACCTTCGTTAAAATAACATTTTGGTGCGCGGTTTCTAAGAGACAAACGCTGACAATTCGTTCTTCTCTCGCCTGTCCTGTCCTTCTATTTAGTCTCCCCGGGTTTGCGTTCACTATCCACTTTCCTTTTACATTTCTAGAGCGGAGATCGAAATACGTTACCACCGAGGTGAAATCCAGCAGGTTCTGAAGAACCGGTAGTGGAAATTTTGAGCAGTTCGGAGAACCGGCAAATACCACCTCTGGCTGGTCCCAGAGTGGGGTGGGAATGGAGATTTTGCAATATCCTTCCCCCAGGAATAGGATGGGAATGGAGATTTTGCATTATCCTCCCCCTGGAGTGGGGAGAGAATGGGGATCTTGCATTATTCTTCCCCTGGAGTGGAATGGGAATGGAGATTTTGCAGTATCCTTCCCCTGCCACGCCCGCCAAGACATGCCCACAGAACCGGTAGTAAAAGCATTTGGATTTCACCACTAGTTACCACCTGATGGATTCTCCTTCCACCCGAGACCTAGTTGTAATGGGGCGTGCGTAAGCGCACCAGCGTGCCTACCGTCCTTATTTATTTGTACTCATTTCACGAGCTCATATACTTAGACCTGTTATCTCGTACATATTTGAGAAACTAAATAAAATAAATTAAATAGTTACATAGGCTGGAATGGCAGAGAAATCCCAGTAATACACAGATACGTGCATACCCACTTTGTCCCTCCATCCTCGCAAATAGAAATTCCCCGCCCGAGGCTTTTCTCCACCTACGACGGGATTGCATCTCCCCAAAGTGTAAAAATAAATAACGTCCTGCTTTCTGGCGAGCTGGATTTGCTGTATCCCACTGGCCAGGGTCCGTGTGACTCACCTGCAGTTGATTTAAGTCGCAGCTTTAGATGGTCGTTGGAGGCAGCGACGGCTTTTCTTAGCTCCTCTCCCCACTTATACCGCTCATGTCCCCCCCAAGGTACACAAGGCGGGCAGCGACACTGGAGCCATCGCATTGGCCGCCAACAACTCCTCCCTTTGTTTGAACTTCGTCTCAAGCAAATTGAAACCAAGTTTATTTCAGAGAAAGGCTCTTCTTTTTGGAAACGAAATGGAGGTGGGCATAAAGGCAAGCGAGCAGATGCCTCCATTCATGCAACAGAGCAGGGAAAAGCAGGAGGCGAGCGGAAAAAGCCTGGAGCGCGCAAACACAACAACTGCGCACAATCAGAGGTCCCCGACGGGACCCATAAACCGCACTATTGTACGGTATTACCTGTAGGCGGGACACTCTGGCACACGGAAAACCCCCTCACCTACTTAACTCTGGGATTGTGTGTGTGTATATATATATATATATACATATTTTTTTTGGTAATTGATTACAGTATATACTAAACTACAAAGTATATACACGTGTTCGCCACCTTCAGTTATTTCTACAAGTAATCAAGGCGGGATATAACTAAATACAATAAATAAATGCATGCCCCGTATGGCTTCCCTCTGTGGTGAATTGGCCAATTTTGCCAAAAACGTGTCCTCAGAATTTAAAAGCGAGCACAAGAAAGTTGGAAAGCCCGGACATTAACAGTAACAATAGCAAGGCAGCTTTTAAAAATTACTTTTAAAATCATGACAAACCACAAAGTAAAATAACACACAGAGATACAAATACATATATTGTCAAAAGAAAAAAAAAACACTTTAAAAACCAAAAAATACAATAAAGGAAAAAAGGGTAAATTATTTTAGCAGTAATTAGTTACGATTCTATATATAGTTATGCAACACAATTAATATTCATGGGGCATATATATTTCTAATGCATTTATATAACTTAGTTTTTTTTTAAAAAAGACCTATTTTTTATATAAAAAATATAAAATTATTTTGTAAAAACGAATCTCATGTTTCATTATACTTGTTCATACAAAGTCTACAACTATAAGGATTTCATTTATAGGTGGCAATTGCGATCAGGCAGTTTTTTAATTTTAATTTTTTTGGGCTTTATTTAATCCCTCATTTTTTCCTACAGGAAATTCTTTTTTGTGCCACATGGGCACCATTAGATTCAGGGTGAACAGGGGTTAAAACCCAAAATGCAATAATGTATATTTTGCAGGTATTTCCGACAACAGAACGATTTGTTGATTTTGCAAAAACAATTTGCTGCATAAGGAGAGATGCCTATTCAGTCATCCGGAGAATGATATTGTATTAACCTTCCCCTCAAAAAAATTGCAATATAGCAAGCTTCATGAAGTAATACATTGAAATAGAATGACTAACAATCAGATGAAATGAGATCTACTGTAAATGTTTTGGCTTCTATTTCCTAAAGCACTTCTAAGCAAATGGGAGTGTGAACGAGCCAAGCATCTTTTGAAGACTGAATTCAAACTGAAGAGGACTAATCATCTATGTGAAATGGCATATTGAGTTTTTATGCAATAAGAAAATAGATGCAAGCAGTGCTAACTTTACTCTGATATTTTCTGATTTGCACAATAGAGAAATGACGTGCCGGAAGGATAAGAACCCTTCTTTTTCTTTCTTTGTTTCCCAAGCTGGAATTCTAAGAAAAATCACCAGATATCAATCGAGGTTAAGGATATTATATTTTTTCACCCAAAATTACAGTTACTTTGGATGTGAGGCCATGCTAGGGCTGCCTTTTCATTGCCTTTTATAGGCTTTTTAGTTTAAAGATTTAGCCAGTCATTATCAGTAGAATAATACTGTATGTTATGACAGATGTTTTTTTTCTTAAAGTGAAGGCAGATGCCTCCTTATTTAGAGTATAGTTAAATATATGTTGCCTAATCTACAGATAAAACAATGGGCATTTTGTCTTTCCTTTTCATCTTTCCTCTTACATTATTATAAGTATGTGTTTTCCTTTACACAGATTTTGCTAGATGGTACTTGTTTATACTGTTGGGAACCAGCATTACTATTTTCCTTTTACAACCTTCCCTTATTGTAAACATAAAATGAAAATATTCCAATAAAAGTGCTTGCAAATGGAAAATTATGATTATTAAATTGTTTACTGTAAAGCACTAGGAGGCTGAATATATACTGATAATTCTCCTAAGTTTACGAAAAGTCTTGGGAACATGTCTGTATGGGACTAACGGATAGGCAACTAGGAAAAAATCTTGGAACTTTGTTTTTATATATGATAACTGCAGCAAGATTATTATACTCTCAAAAGTGGAAGGGCTTGATGATATCCACAGTGGAGGCGTGGCTGGGGAAGATGATAGAATTTACAGAGATGGCTAAACTAACTTCTTTTATTGGAGAAAAGCAATGATCTATATTCATGGCTAACTGAAAATCCTTATAGACATTTTGCAAGAAACAGGAAAAAAAATGTCTTCATGATTTATGATTTTGATGATTAGAAAAAACTGGATAACACATAACAATCATAATAAGTGAACTTATTTTTGTAACTGTAAAATGAGAGTTAATACTGTAAATGTACTTCTGTGTGTTGTAGAAGAAATTGGAAGCTGCTTTGTTTTATTTTTTTGGTTCTCTTTGTGCACTTTTTTCTCTTTCTTTCTTTGCTTCGATTGCTCTATATTAGTTTATGTTCCTTTTTATGTTTTTTGGAACACTTTTAATAACATTTATAAAAGGATGATTGACACCTCCAACTTTTCACCCAGCAGGTTCAGCAGTAAGATTATAATAACCTTCCTTGTTACAAATCCAAATGTCAGTTCTTAGTTAAACCGAGTTTTCATGTTTCATTTAAATGTCTCATTTAGGGACAGAGTTCCTTCTAATTTGGCAAAATTCTACTTCAGTTTTTAACCAACCTCAGAACTTTTGATCAAGAGGGAAATCTCTAGTGGTGAAAATCTGGCAATAAGATGGAATTTGTATTCCTTGTAATTTATTTATGAAAATATATGTGTTCAACTTACTTGAATTTCACAAAAAGAATTCCTCAATTACAGTATTGGGATCTGTGTTGTCTTTTCTGTTTTTACTGGGTGGTGTGCTGTCTGCATTTATTTGTTTGTTTTTTTATTTACTGGTATTTATTTACTTACTTATTTATTATATAGTATGCTGTACAGCTTGCCAAATTAGAATAGAATAAAATATATTTTTTTATTGGCCAAGTGTGATTGGATACCCAAGGAATTTGTCTTGGTGCATATGCTCTCAGTGTACATAAAAGAAAAGATACGTTCATCAAGAATCATAAGGTACAACACTTAATGATAGTCATAGGGTACAAATAAGCAATCAGGAAAGAATATCAATATAAATCATAAAGATACAAGCAACAAAGTTACAATCATACAGTCATAAGTGGAAGGAGATGGGTGATGGGAATGATGAGAAGATTAATAATAGTGCAGACTTAGTAAATATTTGACAGCGTTGAGGGAATTATTTGTTTAGCAGAGTGATGGCACTCAGGAAAAAACTGTTCTTTTGTCTAGTTGTTCTGGTGTACAGTGCTCTATAGCGTCGTTTTGAGGGTAGGAGTTGAAACAATTTATGTCCAGGATGTGAGGGGTCTGTAAATATTTTCATGGCCCTCTTTTTGACTCGTGCAGTATACAGGTCCTCAGTGGAAGGCAGGTTGATAGTAATTGTTTTTTCTGCAGTTCTAATTATCCTCTGAAATCTGTGTCTGTCTTGTTGGGTTGCAGAACCAAACCAGACAGTTATAGAGGTGCAGATGACAGACTCAATAATTCCTCTGTAGAACTGTATCAGCAGCTGTATATTATAATAGTTTGTAGCCAATAATTGATATTAGAAAAAATGTTCATATTACATAAATATTTATTAGGTATGTATCCATGCTTGTATAAATAAATAATACAGCGGTACCAAAATGTGACAATTTAATATTGTAAGCTGAAACATTTTGTGGGGAAATCACAATTTGTGATAACACGCAAAATGAAACCTTCACTTAGGAATACTGAGGCCCTGCTGTGGATAAATATGTCATTAGGCATAATAAAAAATTGCTTAACGCATTGTAAGCCGCCCTGAGTCTCCAGAGAAGGGTGGCATATAAATCAAACCAATAAATAAATAAAAAAGGCAAAAGTAACAGATTAATACAATGACATTAAATTGACTTTTTTTCATTGTGAATGCCTGGGTGAAGCCATTAAATATTAACTTCTTCCTACCTGCTTGCCTGTGAAAGTGGAATATTTAATGTTTCCTCAGGAGATAATGTTACGTAGGTTCAAGGATCAAGCCCAATAACTCATAGAAGTCATTTCTTTTCTATTAAAGGAGGCATGTCTACATTCTCCTGGAGACCCAACGGTTATAGCCAATGGGGCAGAACCAGTGTCTTTGTCTTTGACAATAGGTTTTCTTAGTAGCTTCTCCTTGCGCTTAGGAGGAGCCTCAGAACAAGGCTTAATTGCTACTCCTTCCCCTTGTGTATGCTTGGAAGCTTCCATCTTAGAAGCCACTGACTGCTCTCACACTGTGGCACTACGGCCATGTTTTGACTTGGCCAGAGCCTTAGGCATGACTGGCCTTAATTAATCAATAGGGTTGAAAGGACACCCCTAAAATTTTATCAGCCCTGTAATAGGGTAATGTAAATTTAAAAGTAGTTTAAATTAATATAAATGTGTTATAGATGTAAATTATATATCCAACACAGTTTCCAGTAGCCAGATGTGGCAGTCTTAGTTTATAAGGGCAGAATATGCTTATAGCCGGCACAGAACTAAGGATTGGAGGCTTGTTAGAAAAAAACTGTGCCCTTGCCCTTAAACAAAATGGCAGCCGAGCAGTCACCTAAGAGCTCGAGCTGGCGTAACTGTCAAAAACTGAAGCACTGCTCAGTCTCAAATGAAGGCAGATCTGTCTTAAACAGTCTAATTTGGCCAAATAATCAAAGCACTGTCAGATTAAAGAGACTACACGCAATTAGTCTCAGTCAGTTAAGAAGCAGTAAGCCTGCATGTAAA